TTGTAATGAATTGTGAGTGTGCTTGAAGGCTTGTAATTGGCAAGTGTGAATATACTCTCAATGATACTGATTCCTGAGTACATACTTTCTATAAAATACTTTAATGTGTATTATTGATATATTTCAATTTAATCTCTCCTTTTATCTAGTGTATTGCCAGCAGTGCATTACCAAATAATTCAATATCCATTAACGGATAATATCTGTTATTTGATGCACACACTGAAAGCAATTCACTCACGCATGTCTTACAGATACACACATGCATATAAATACTGACCATTCAATTGATAGTTGAGGCATGGCTGTACTTATTTTTATTTTGGTTAACATGATTGCTCCGGGACAAAGTTCATTGGTTGGGCGGGGCCTGGTTGATGTCAGGATAACACACTAAATTGCCATTTGATAGAGATGGCAGCACAGCCCTGTCATGTAGTCCCAAACATGAATATGGAATGCACTGTGTTAGCACATGCAATTTGCACTTTTAAAAAAAAGTCAGCAGAGATAACAGATAAGTGACATTCAATGTCCGAAACTGTCATGCAAAAAATGCTCATCAACTGAATAATGATCCCAATGAAAGCGGTTATACAATCAAAATTAGGCAATAATTTACAAAACATCAGTCTATGTTTAAAATGTATGCATATTTTGTAGAGTTAATATATGCATATTCATTGTATATTTTTATTTTCAGTATGGAGTGATTTTTGCCGGAGCACAAAAAAACATTGGTTGTGCTGGAGTGACATTGGCTATTGTACGTGATGACTTACTGGGACATGCTATGCCTTCATGTCCTGCTATATTAGACTTTAAAGGACAGAGTGATGCCAACTCATTATACAACACACCACCTGCATATAGGTATGTCTGATGTGAAATAAACCTGCTAACTATCGTACAAATTAGTGCCATGCATAGAAACACAGTTCTGACACTCATCATAATGTAGTGAAGTTTAAATTCTGTAATTATTCACTGCTAAATTAAATCATGAACATGGAAACTCATTCTTTACCTGGCATTTAATTTTTAAACCTCAGACTAGTAATACATTATTGTAATGTATTACTAGTCTGTGTTTAAACTAATTTAACCCTTTGCACACCATAGATACTTTGTTGCAACAATGTTGCAGGGCCCATTACTAATTTGCATATTTGTACTCCCATTACCCAAAACTTTTTACCAATTTAGTGTGAGCCAGGTAGGTTGACATGTACACAGGGAAAAGAAGACTAGAACACTGTAGTTTCATTTCATTTTAAAAAAAACCTCATTTTATTTACAATTCACTTGGTTTCTAATTTATGATAACACCAAAATAGGCACTCATTTCATCTCTGTCCGTTTCATACCAATGCCGGTCTACGCGCCCGGTAACTTCCTGTCTATGTCTAGCGTAATTATTTGTTTCCCCGGCCAACAAATCCAAAAAATCGTCCGTAAA